CATCGCCGGCTGGAAGTTTAGGGCCTGTGGTTTGACATACTCTATGTTCTATCAAAGTAATAGTTAGACACTTGACTCTGGTCCTGTACTCAATGGGCTATGGGATATTTACTGAATTACGATCTCTTACCATATTATCATTATTTCATTCTTTAAATTGCTTTTTATATCCATTGATTTATTGTCTATAATTTGTTCCGATATAATAGTTGGGAATAACCTTGCATTTAAAATATGGTAGGCCTATCAAAAATAAGTGTACAATAGGCCTACTATTTGTAGTCCTATTCATAATAAAGTACAGTGACCGCCAATAAATACTCAACATATACGATGAATATCAGAATTTAGTGCAGTAGGCTAAGCTAGGGTGGCATTATTTTTCCCCATTTATTTTAATTCATTCTCTGTAGGTCATTTTGAAAACAGACACTAGGCCTGGGTGTAGAGGAATGGCGTTTTCGGATACGGTAGCCATTTTTGGCCTAAATTATTGTTGTTCAGCTTCCCAAATGGGGAAAAAAAAAACAAAAAAAAACTACTAAATAGAAGAATTGTGTTTAGATCAGATTATCGTACAAGTATATACAGGCGACTGCTACACACACACAGTAGATCTTGATCACTAATTAGGCCTATGTTCATGTAATAAACTGTTTATGCTAATTAACTTTAATTTATGTTCTACTGAATGAGCTGTTCTTGTTTGATTTTTAATTTCTGTTTGTCACTTCCTTGTTGTCTTTATTGTAATTAATTTATTTGTATCGTACCAAATCCATTTTCAAATATATATAACAAATATAAAATATAATTGAAAATGAGACTTAAAGAAAATAATAAATACAAGATTTAATTGCACACAAAAATTCAGAGATTGATATTTTCTTAGTTTATTCTATGCTTTTCCATGGTAACGTCGAGTCTTTATCACTGGGCGCCGTACAAAGGGTACGGTTATGCATAACTCGGCCCGCAGCAAGATCAATTACCCTTAATAGTCAATTTTCATAGCAGCAGAACCATGGGACTGTTCCTCTAAATAGTTCTAGAAGAAGTAGGTACTGGCATTAAATTGCGTTTATCCTGTCACTACGAATTTATTCCTCCATGCTCATGGTAACAACATGAATTTGGCCTGGTTATAACACTGGGCGGCGTACAAAGGGTTTGAGCTATGCATAACTCGGCCGGCAGCAAGATCAATGACACGTACACTTTGATTCAGTCTGTATTTCCATAGCAGCAGAGCGTGGGAATATTCCTATGAATAGTTCTAGAAAAAGCAATATACTGGCATTAAATTACATTTATCCCGTCAATATTCATGGCAAAAATATGTGTTTTGCCTGATTACAATACAGTATAAAAGTGTATAGGAAATTTCAGTGGGTTTCGAGTCTTGGTATTCAACATTACGGTTTTAAATTTTACAGAATAGCTCAATAACAAATGACAGGATATAGTATTAAAATTAATTCATAATAATGAATAAAACTTATGACAAAACATAGGAAAGAGACTTGTCGATAAATTATAGTACATCAAAATCACGAGATAAACCGACGCAAACAAGTAGAACAAAAATGTCGGAAAACAAACACTAATTAGCGAAATGGAATCGTCCAACATTTTTGATCAGTATCTTGAACCACTCGTCGGCAAAGCGAAGAGATTATAATCCCCAAACACGCGTTGTAGACGGGTATACGCGTTGCTTTATTTTGCGAGGCTCCCTTATGCAGAAAGATTGTTGGGTAAATTAGCAATGAGTACAGTAGATTCAGCCTTATCACAGTTAAATATATTGGCAACAATATAGTCTTTACAGTTTTATCAGCCTATGCGGTGATGTTTAGGCAGGGATGTTTAAGTAGGCTTTCCAAATGCTGACTGCATTATTATCAGTCCTCATTGTCCATGTCTTCATAAAAGAGCAACAAAGTTAAAAGCGTATGCAATCCTGTCATCCATTAACTGATAATTCCAGATACTACAAGGTTACATAATTACTGGCACAAAAATACTAATCCATCCATGGATGGATACAAATCCATCAAATGAAAACTGATTGGACGATCTTCAAATATCACTGACATAGGTACATCTCCATACCAAGCATGTTATTACAGTAATTTGGTCATTATGAACGATCGTAATTGCATTCAAAATTTTTAATAGATAATAGAAGATGTTACATCAGCTACGAAATAAAACATTAAAAGTGACATAACTAAGTTAAAAAGCAAGCAATATAACCATTTTCAGCCAAGATGCATTACATTTGAGCTGTGCATGCTTGTTCAGGCATACTGTACAGTAAATCTCAATTTTTGTTCATTAGTGGCGCTATTTGCATGAATTTCGCAATCTAAAGAGAAAAAGAACATTTGTTTTGGCTCTTTTTGGTAATGTTTTCATTCAGAAATCCCTTCAAATGAATACTTCAGTGAGCACAGGTAATTTTGGCTTACTGTAAAGTATTATTTTGCTGCAGAAAACAGTAAAATTCAAGACATTTCGTGAAAAATTTTTGCTCCCATGGCAAGGCCTAGGCCTTCACTCACCACACTGAGATGCTATGAAAATTCAAACTCTCTGAATTATGAATTTTCTCATTTATGAACTGTGTTCGGAGGTAAGGGTACGTAATTGCGAGATATTCAGGAATGTCACCACGCTGGTCGGCGGTGGAGGGACCCGTCCAGCATTTCCGACCAGGACTTACAGGCTACCGACCACCACTATTATTTCAACAGTTTACAAATTGTAACAAAATAATTTTGTTTAAAGTTTACCTAAACACAATAGACAAGCTAACCTGATAAAGACAAGAAGAATACAATAAATGTTTCCGTAGTTACGTTAATTGTAACAATATACTGCACTGCCTGCTATTCATCGCTAACTTAACAGCCTAGGCCCAGTTGAGTCATAGCGAACGTCGTGGGCCGGCATGACACGGTTGCTGTACACATTCAAAGGTTATTATATTATTATTATTATTATATTCGTTCGTCCTTCGTATTCGAAGAAGACCTTGATCACCAAGTATATTTGCATGTTCCTAGACTTATAAGTTACTTGTGTATACGTTGGTGGCTGATTAGTCCAATCCTGGATTTAAAGTTTCTTCTACACGTTTGGCATTGATGCTCAGTTGATGTGCATTTTATTTTCTCACGTTCCTTTCTTGCAGCACGTTTAGCTTTTGCGTGCAAGATTCTGTTTTTTTCAAACCGTTCTATTCCAGTGTGAGTAGTGTGTCTCCAAATGAGTCTATCTGATGCTTGTACTTCAAATGCATTCGGTGAGATGCTGCAATGCTTCAGAGTTGCTTTCAGTGAATCCTTAAAGCGTTTTTTCTGACCTCCTTGGGATCGATTACCTGTCCAGAGTTCACCATATAGGAGC